TTTTTGATTGGATTCACGTTCTCAATTTGGCCTTCTCTTATCACTTTTTTTTGTTTTTTTATTCTTCTCAACAAAAGAACGTGAAACAGAGATTGAGCAGATCATATCACAAATGCCAAGCAAGGTGGTGGTGAGGAGGAGGGAGAAGATTCAATGAATGTGAGCTTCTTGACGTCGTTTATCGCCAGCACCTGGAGGAGTGTCAGTGCCAGTAACTGTTGGTGTGCCGGATTGGTGAGTTGAAACAAGTTTTGACAATTGTACCACTTGAGGTGGATTAGGTAGAGTAAAAGTTGATGGTAATTCGGTTATTGTGCTTTGACACTGACCTCCTGTTTGGTAACTTTTTAGGGTAGTTGTGCCATACTGCGACAGCTGTGATGGACTTAGTCGACCAGAAACTGCTACACTGGATTCACCCAAGTGGGATTGCGACTCAGAAAGAGTTGTATGATGATGTGGAACTCTTTGCGCCATAGCATGGCTTACAGACACTGAGGTGGTGTGGGCAAAAGTCACGGAGTTTTGGACATGTTGCTGTTCCCCATTTGTGGCACGAGTATTGCCAGAGCGTGGAGCGACAGCCTCATTGGCATGACTTCGTGGAGTGCGACGTCGAAGCCAATCGTGACGGAAGGCTTCTCGAGGCGTTATCCTATCCTCCGGCATCCATTGAAGACATTGGGTAAGAAAATCTAAGAAAGCAGCATCCTCACGCCCCCTTAGAGCCGATTTAAGAGACTTGGCGCCTGGAATGTCTCGAAGTTTTCCCCTCTTAGTCTTACGTGGTCGTAGGACAACATTACTGTCCTCATCAATCTCCATGCAATATCGTGGACATCCATAGGTGGTAGAGAAGAAGTGCTTCATTCGACGACTCTGATCAAGCAACTTCTCTGGTGGCATTCCAAGCACCTCCAAAATGCAGGCGAGCTGATCGCCTTCGTCTTCACCGGGAAATAGTGGAGAACCTCAAGAGGGATTAAAGTTAATACAAAACAAAGGGAAAAAAAGTGCCACATTTTTATACACCTTTACATTCCACTCAGTGTCTAGTCGATTGTAAGGTTAGGCAAAGAGGAACAATGCAGTGAAGATGACAACCTACCGGTTAGAAGCTCCGCAAGAATACAACCAAAACTCCACATGTCAATGGAGGAGTTGTACTTGCAGCCAAGGATGACTTCAGGTGCACGATAAAATCGCGACTGAATGTACGTGTAAATGCTTTGATCCTCAAAACAACTGGATCCAAAGTCAATCACCTTTATACCACTTCGACCTTGTTGTTTTAGTAGAATATTTTCCGGTTTTAAATCACAATGAATAATTTTATTGCGATGCAGCATATCAAGGCACACAAGGATGGAGTGAGCAAATTTTCGTACTAGAGGTAGGGGAAAGCCTTTAAATTCATTCCTCTTAATCAACTCGTAGAGATTTATGTTGAGTAATTCAAAAGTCATGCAAACATGCTCACGAAAAGTAAAATGCTCTAACAAGTGCACAACATTGCGACTATTGTCCACATCCTGCTCTCGAAGCAACTCCAATATGCGAATCTCTTCAGCTGCTTGTTTTGTAAAGCGTCGTTCATTGCGTACCATTTTGAGGCCAACAAAAGTGTTTGTCTTATGATCAAAGGCTTTTACAACTTGTCCAAAACTGCCTTTTCCAATTATTTTTAACACCTCATAGCGATATGCAATGTGATCGTGAGCAGTGTGGAGGTACGAGCCGTGGTCATCATCAAAGCCAAAATTTGGACCGTTGGCACACATTGGTTGGCGTTTGTTGGCATTATGTCCAACAAAGTAAACATGTGGGTAATTAAGTATCTCAGTCATTTCGTAAGGTGTAAGTTTGGCTTTAAATTGTCGTATAGCCAATTGTGGTGTAATTCCTGCAGAAGAAAGGCTTGTTGACTGTTGGTTATTCCACACAGTTATGCCATTTACTTGAAGATTGCATGGGGGATGAGTTGAGCTGGGACGAAGATCAGGTGGATTGGCAATTTCATTGTCATTGTGTCGCCATGACCGACCTGAAGTTTTTTGGTTCAGCATGGCTTCAGTAGAATCGCATCCGCCTTTTCGAGAGGCCACTGTGGGTATTGACTTTTGACTGACCAAGTGGACAGTTGGACCGCCGTTAGCACAATTTGCGTTAACAAAATTGACGGATTGTTCGGTCTTTGTAGCTGAGTTGCTATTAGGAGCCTTTTGATTGTGATTAGTGTGGATTTGAGAATGTGAACATCTCTGATTAAGTGGCTGAGTGAAAGAGGAGGTAGAACAAGGAGGTTGAGCTTGATTTTCATTTATTTTTATTGAACCCATGGACATTATTGTATCTATAAATTTCAACGTAATAAAAATTTCTGACAGAAAAAAATAAGAAGAATTTGATGCTAAGCGTCTTACTTGCTTAGTAAATATAATTTCTGTGGTAGAGACCGATGAGTCGATCGGAAAACTCCAAGTAAAGCAAGTCATAGAATGCAACACGAAAATTCAACGATAGTGCTGAAATCCACTTTTCTGGATTCCCTACTAATTTTGCAAAATGTTCATAGAGGTATGAGCTAAAATACAAAGCATTTTTTAAAATAAGTTAAAAAAGCTGACTTAAAATTTATAATCATGATTTAATGTGGCAACGGAAACGAGCCCAATAAGCTCAATCCCCATAAAAGTCGAAAAAATATAAAATATCCGTTCGATATCAGCAATCTAAACCAGAAAATTTGTATTTCCAAAAACCACTAGATATTATAAAATTCTAGACCGAGGAAATATTTTGCTAGACATTTCTAAAAAATTGATTAAAGATTTATAAAAAAATTTTAATAAAAAACCAATTTAGTACATATAATAAATTGCTATTTAAACAAGAATTTGTTATTTATCGGTTAACCCTGGAATGCGTTAAATGAACATTTAGAATAATCCTGCGATGACAAAAATCACACGCTTAAAATTGTGTGCACTGTAGGCTAATGACAAATATCAGGCTTAATTAACTGCAATTATAGGCGCTTATCACCGGCAACTGCACTAAAAGATCACATATAATCGTCTCACACTGAGTGACATGAACAATATGATGACGATTGATTTGGGCGCTTCGCGAGATAGCAACACAAGCGTTTCTAATAAGGTCAAGACAGATATAAACAAACTAAATTATGACCTTCAAAATTCCAGCGAATAGCATAATTTATATTTTTGTTGCATTCATTTACTCAAAAATCATCCCACTTTCACAATTAAGCATGCTTATATGCTAACTTTGAGAGTCTATAATTTCAGAATCATGGTATACTATAGTAATATAGGCTCAAACGACTGAAAATATCGAAATACGTAACAAACTATCTGATTCTTAAATGCAAATATTTCTATGTAGTACGGAACGCATTCAGGCAGAATTACAGAGTATTACATATTTCACCAATTACCAAATCCACCAGTCTCAGGCACCTTTTAGTACGGTACAAACCATAGTAAAACTGTCCTAAACTTGGGGACTTAAATGGAATGCTCCCCACGTATTTTAAATTCTTTGTATTCTGCATTGATAGCGGTGTAGCGTCCCGAGGCTTCCAATGGGGTAGTAGAAGGCATAAGTGGAGTTGAATACATGTA